GGGGGGGGGGGGGGGGGGCGAGTCGATGCATGCGCGCGGAGATCGGACATTGCTTGCATGCATCACTTGCATGCAAGCGCCTGAGAAGGCAGGCGGGGCCGCGGTACACGAGCATGGGTCACATGCGCAGCGCGTACGGGCAGCGCATGCAGGCAGCGCAGCATTCTGGTCGTCCTGGTGACTGGCTCCTCAGCTGCAGGCTTCACTGTTCTGCCTGGCAACGCTGAGCAATCAGTACACTCATTGGTCGCACGTGAGACACTACTGGCTGCCGATTGACAGGCTTCATGCCAAGCTCGACGTGCTGCGCGAGCCGTTTGCTGCGCTCTGCTCGCCGCGTTATTGCAGGCCGTCGCCCCATCTCAGTAACACCTTCGCACCGCAGCTGCTGCCGCCCGCTGCTCGCGCACCTTGCACTTGGCCGCCAGTTCAATGACATCTGACTCTGACAGAAACTTGCATTCCCCTAGCTGCCCTATCTGTGCGTCGAGGATGGCCGCCTCCTGCTGCGCCAGCACCCGCCCCAGCGACATGGCTGCCCGCCCTGGGCCAGGGGCAACAGCGCCCCGGGGGCGCGCCTAGCGCCAGCTGCAGGCCGTCTGCGCAGCGATCCTGTGGCGGGAAGGGAATCGGAGCCGGGGGTGTGGGCCCAGCCGCGCGCCGGAAACGCCTGTGCATATTGGCAGCAGCAGTGGCGCCAGCAGGCGACGCCCACACCCAGACGGCCCCGGGTGTTGGGACCACACAGCAGCGTTCGGCCCTTCGAATACGCCGCCTTCCTCCCCCTGATCCGAGCTGACCAGGGCCTCATGGTCAGCGAGAGCGGTCTCCCGTTCGGTTGCTGCGCTTCCTGCCCCTCCTTGAACACACCTGGTCCCGATCAAGTCCGGCTCAGAGAGGTGACTATATGATGTTCTCACAGAGCTCCACAGAGCTCACGCGACGCCAGGAGGGTCTGTGGGCTCGGATTGGCTGCAGCGCGGGCGGTCCTCCTAGGCGCCTGTTTGTACAAGGTGATACGTTGACCGCGACAGGATTGAAGCAACTTGTCAAATATTCGAAACGGCGAACTTGATAGAGCTGCACTCGCACATGTCATCAGATCATTCCAAAGCACCCACACGCAGGCGCCAGTGCAGTGAATGCGATTAAAATGAGATATTTCATCATGAGGGATAGCTCGCATACTCGTTGGGACGGAGAGCAGCCGGAGTGGATTTGAACCCGGTTGCGCTCACGGGGCCTCCAGGGCGGTGACTGGCGCTCCACGTAACAATGGAGACCAATGGAGATACAGGTAGGCGCGCTTGCGCGCAAGCCGGGTGCCGCAACGTCGTGCATCGGTGGTCGCCCCTGCCACGCCAGACGTGCATGTTCTGGGGCATGCACGGCTCACCGCCTGTGAGACCCCCGCCGGCGATGCTGACGCATTGCCATCTTGGTCGTTCATAGACACGGCTGCCGCGACGCAAGCCGGGTCTGCCACTGTCAGCAAGCCAAAGGCCCGTGAGGTGAGCTTGGAGGGAGCGGGCCGGGCTGGTTGTTGATGCGGCGTGCCCTCGGTGGCGGCACGGGCAGCGCACGAGCAAGGGTGTCTATTTGGGGGTCTGGCGAAGTGATCGTCCTCCGTGCGGCCAACATGGCTTTTAGGAATGCTCAACGCGAAAAAACATTGCCGGCGCGACCGTGCACTTCCCCCCTTCCCCAAACAGGTCCCGGCGCGCTACCTGCATCCGCGGGCGGCGCCCGCGTCCACGCCGCGCGGCCAGCCCCTCTCCGCACGCAGCCAGAGCGGCGGCACCTGGGTCAGCGCGAGCGAGCTGGACCTCCCAACCCACGGCTCCACACCTCTGTACGTCCACGTGCCCGCCGCCGCGCTCGCGCCGCACACAGTCATCCGCGGCGGCGCGGGCCCGCCCGCGACCGTGCGGCGCGCGCAGCAGGAGGCCGCGCGCGGCGCCAAGGCGCGCCCGGCAAGCGCGGCAGGCGGCGGCGGCGGCGGCGACACCGATCCGCTGGCGGACGCGGAGCCCGGCGGGCGGCGGCAGCGGCAGCACGGCGCGCGCGACGGCCACCTGCAGCATGGGGGATGGGACGTTGAGGCGACCCCGGCGGCCGAGGGGCGCGGCCTCTCGCGCGCAGGCAGTGCCTTCCTGTCTCCCGGGTCTGACCGGAGCCCGGGGCGCGACGGCGACACGAGCGACGGCTCGCGCGGGACGTCCGGCGGCGGCCACGGCCCCTCGCGCGCGCAGGAGCACCGGCCGCGGCGCGAGCTGAAGGACCAACAGCAGCAGCAGCAGCGGCAGCAGCAGCAGCAGGCGCGGCAGGTTCAGGGTCTGCGCGAGCGGCCGCCGGTGGCCAGCACGCCGCGGCCGCTGCAGCAGCTCGGGGGCCTCAGCGTGGATACAGCGATGGCCGCCATAGCGGGGG